AACAAGAGCTATGGCTATTAAGAAAACATAGTAATTCTATATAACGAACTTTTTTTTTTGGCCAGAACCGAGGGTTCAGTATAGAAAGAGTCGACTGAATGCCTTAAATTTCTGGTCTTTTGTAAATTTTGGCATTATTTTCTTCCCTTATATATACGTAAGAGATTTAATTATTCTGCCAGGATCTAAGTGAAAAAAGTTTTAAAAGAAGATGGGTGATCTTGACGAGGTAGACAACAATCTGTTCGTGATCAAGGGGTGTACTCTAGTCAGTACGAAATTCGACGCAAGTGTTGAATTCTGAGTAAGACTAATAGTTGTTATAGCAGGTCACATTGAGCATTTGCTTGGTGAGTTTTTATTAGATTATAACATTATGCTTTAAAAATGCAAGTGCTTTGTACTTTCATTAATAAGCAGTTCCAATAAATAAAAACAAGATTGTTTAAAAAAAAATATATAAAAAAAAAATTTTAAATAACTTATTTTATATCAGTTATGTTGTATTCATCACTTTTACAATTAGTAAGACATTAATTCTTTTATATAAATTTTTTAGTAAATATATTTATAAAATTTAACAATAAATTTTTTTATATGATAAAGATAATATAATATTATATAAAGAACTAAGAAAAATTATTTTTATAAATAAAAATAAAAATTGGTTAAATAATAAACAGATTTTTTTTGTAAACTTAATTAATAATCCATTTGTTATCTGAAGAGGATTTGTAAAATTTTATAAATAAAGTTTACTATTGACAAAAATGTGGCGAGCCTACATCTAAAACTTTTTTTTTACTAAGACAATCAATCTTGTTGATTAATTGAAAGTTTTAGAGCTCATCAAGACACATCTAATAGTAATAAGAGTGTTAAAATTAGCTAGTGGTTCTTGAGATATCTTTAAAAAATATCTCGCATATATATAAAATTCTTTTAAAAAAAGAAGACTTTTTTAATTAATAATCCATTTGTCATCTGGAAAGGATCTGCAAAATTTATAAGTAAAGTTTACTATTAACTCAAATGTGGCGAACCTACATCTAAAACTTTTTTTTTACTAAGACAATTAAACTTGTCAATTAACTAAAAGTTGTAGTACTTATCAAGACATATCTAATAGTGTAAGAGTGTCAAAATCGGCTTGGTGATTCTTGAGATATCTTTAAAAAATGTCTCGCACATATATAAAATTCCTTTAAAAAAAAAGACTTTTTTTAAAGAAATTTTATATATGCGTAAGACATTTTTTAAAGTTATCTCAAGAATTACCAAGCCGATTTTGATGCTCTTACCACCATTAGATATGTCTTGATAAGCTCTACAACTTTTAATTAATTGACAATATGATTGTCTTAATAAAAAAAGTTTTAGATATAGGCTTGCCACATTTGAGTCAATAGTAAACTTATAAAATTTTGCATATCTTCTTCAGATGACAAATGAATTATTAATTAAAGGAATTTTATATGTATATAAAATGTTTTTTAAAGATATCTCAAGAACCACTAGTCCAATTTTGATACTCTTATCACCATTAGATATGTCTTGATAAGCTCTACAACTTTTAATTAATTAACAAGATTGATTGTCTTAATAAAAAAAAAGCTTTAGATGTAGGCTTACCACATTTTTATCAATAGTAAATTTTACTTATAAAATTTTGCAAATCCTCTTCAGATAACAAATAAATTATTAATTAAAATAATAAGCAGACTTGAAGTTTTTTATATAAGATAATAAGAAGATTTTTGTAAATTTTATAATATTAAGAATCTTTTAACAAGCTTAATTAGACTAAATCTGGTAATTTTATTTTGTAAATATAAAGATAATATAAAAAGTTTAAAGAACTTTATAAACTGGGATTTTTTAACAAACTTAAAATATAATAAGTTGATACTTAATTATTAAATCAAATAAAGTAATTCTTTAATCAGTGAAAATTAAAGAATAGCTCAAATTTATCAGTAATGAATAATATATTTATAATTAAAAAAATTAGTTAATTGAAATAAAAATTTATATTTAATAGGTTTAATGGTTTAATTCAAATATATATAAATAAAAAATTTTAAATAAATTAGATTAAAGTATTATTTATAAGCAAAAGACTAATTAATTGATTAATATTAAATTGATTAGTTATTATGTTATATTATTTTTAGTAAATTTTATTTCATCAATAAAAACAAATTTTGACCAGTTTTAATCTCTTTAAAACAAAAAAATATTAAATATTGCTTTGAATATTTTGAAGCTTAACTATTTATTTTTTTTGAAAAACCTAAATATATATATATATATATATATTTGTATTAAACTTGAACTAACTGTATGTTTTTTTAAAAAAAAAATTATAACAAAAATGCATTATAATAGAATATTAAACTTTTTTTATATTAATATCTTTAAAAAAATTTCGAGTTTTTCTTAAATATTTATTTTATTATTTGTAGACTTACCAAACTACTTACATCAACCTTGTTGTAACAAGCCTTCTCTAACTGTAACTTTTGAAGGCAGTAATATATATGGTTTACCTTATTATGAAATTGAAAAGTGGTTAAGATCAATTTGTTTATATAATTTTGTTCACATTGTTAAAAGAAAAAGTTCTCAATAAATATATTCTTATATAATGTTATTTTATTATTTTTTTATTGATAATTAATTATTCAATATTTACTTGTCTTTAGAGTTGGCTATGTATATTTCAGTTCTGTGACAGAAGCTTATAATTTCTTCATTAACATGAAAGATAAATCATATCCAAGTCCACAAAAGATAAATGATGTAGTAACATTTAAAGCATCATTTTATCCAAGTATTTAAGTATTTTTTTTTAATTTTTAAATATATTAATTTATAATTTTTTTTTTAATACAAAAGGAGATAGCATGATTGGATCAACAAGCTATTCCACTTAAATTACAGTAAATCAAAAAATAATAAAAGATCACCACCACAATTATCTCAAACTTCTCAAATTAATTTGGCACAACTATTAAAAGATGGGTCAAAAAAAGTTAAAAGATCACCACAAAAAGCACTTCCACAAGCAAGCACATCTTAAACTAGACAATCATTAGAAGTAACATTAAATGAAATATCTGAATAGTCTTCTCAACTTATTGAATTAGATGTGAATAATGAAAATCTCATTGAAACAGTATCATTTATTCCATATGGAGTTCAAGAACTGAGGTAGAAATTTATTTATACCAAGTGAATTTTGGTTTTGTTTTTGATTTATAAATAAATTTCTAACTTAATATTTTTATATTTAAGTGATTGTTTTGAAATAAGTATAAGCACACCTAGGATCATTGATCTAAAAAATTTTAGTACTAAAATTAAGAGTGATAATCAAAATATTGTAATATCCGGAGAATTTCCACCTCAAAATTAAAACCGGGTCATTGATCTCTTTCCAACTGGAAAATTTAAGATTGAAATTCGCCTACCTTCGATGTAAGTATATTTCTTAATTTGTAGTTGTTTAATTGTATTATTTTGATATATGCTAATTATATATTAAAAATAATAAAGGGTTAACCGAGATACTGTTGTTAACTGTGTAATCAAACATGGAATAACTAAATTCATTTTTATGAAAAGTGATTAACTCCAATCCATTTATTGTAAAAAGAACTCATTGTTGTACATATAATAAAATTATACATCTAAATAAATGTTCATGCTAATAGAAGGTTGTGGTAATCATAATAAAGAATAGAGTAAAATAGGGATAAATAAATTGGCATGTTTTATATTCAATAAATGTTCTATAAACAGACTACACTATCACTAATAAAGTAAAATTAAGAGTAAATATTCCTGAAATTTAAAATCTTATTTAGTGAATACTTAAATGAGCTTTCTTCTCAATTAAATGGGCTTGAAGTTGTTTGGCTAATTCGTCAAAAAGAAATTTATAAGCAATAAGCATAAGCTCAAAATTCCTCCATAGATATATCTTTGTATATGTATTACTTTCATAGTGATTATCTTTTGTTTCTCTTATTAACACGGTATAAAAATCCGGAAAAAATGTAATGTCCAGAATTCGTAATATTAGTATTTATAGAGGCCAAGTAATGGCTTTATGCATAATCGTGATGGAGTTTATTAATTTTCCCCACCACATTACTATAAAATTGATTAGCACGTACGTAGCACAGATACTGAATAATCAGTAGAACCAATCAGAAGTGGTGGGGAAATTTAGTTCTTGAATTCTGAAGCAATACGTACAAGTCTAATCCAAAATTGATGCAATCTAGTTACACACGCAAAAATTATACCATACACGAATAGGCGATTCAAATATTTTAAAAGAAAAACCTGTTACGAATCAAACTTAAATGTATTTCTCACCAGTATTCATTTCAAAAGCTTTACAATATAATTGAAAAATAACTTATACCATGACATCAATGAAAGGCAGACCACTTAAACCAAAAGAACAATATACTCACCGTCTAAAGAATATTCTTGAGGAATATCCTGATGGATTTCAAATTCTTCGTGAAATTCTTCAAAACTCTGATGATTCTAAAAGTCGCACACAAATATTTTTATTGGTATATTATATTTTATATTTTTATATTTTGAAAATTCTAACTATATTGTTTATATCGTTTATTAACTTTATGAAATAGGATCATAATTCCTATCCAACTAATAAGTTAATCGAACCTAAGATGAATGGGTATGATAAAAGTAATTTGAAACTGGATAGATTTCAAGGACCTGCACTTTTGTCTAAAAACGACACCGTGTTCAAAGAACGTGATTTTGATTCATTAACGAAATTAGCTGATAGTAAAAAGCGTAGTCAATTTGATAATATTGGAGGTTAGTAATTATTTTTTTTGTGACAGTTTACTATAGTAACAAATATAGTTATATTTTCAATATTAATTTAAATTAATAAAAAAGCAATGGGTGTGGGTTTTAATTCTATTTACCACATAACCGATTCACCTACCTTTATTACCGGCGATCAATACGTTATTCTTGACGTATGTAACTTGGCTCAACTTGGTTTCAGTTTTTATTTCAGTGATCTGATGTTTAATATCTGAATTACATTATAGCCACATGAATGGTACTTTGATGGTGGTATTAGATATAATTTTATTGATGATAAGATTGCTGTTGATTACCCTGACCAGCTTGCTCCAATCACTATTCCATTCGGTATTCCGTTTGATCAAAAATTGAATGGCACCATTTTTCGTTATCCTCTTCGCACTATTCAGGACGCTAAAGATTCTAAAATTTTAAATAAAGAATACAATCCAACAAAGATATTACAAATGTTTGATAAATTTTATGAGAATGAAAGCATTAGTTGTCTTCTTTTTTTGAAATCTGTTGAGAGCATTAAATTTTATGAATTAAAAGAAAACGAGAATGTTGCAAAATTACTCTGCTCAATAGAAATTATAAATGTAGAACAAGTAAGAGAGAAACGTGGGTTAATCTCTGAAAATATTTGTTCTTTGATGAAAGATCTTGATGAAAAAAAACTTTACGATGACACCACATTGGATTCTATGTTTATCATGACTTTTCGTCAACAAAAAGGCGATGAAAAGCCACGAGAAAGCCAATGGATTGTTTTTAGTTTTTTTGGTGATCTAAATGCTACAGCATCTTATTTCAAGGAAGGGAAAATAATTGAACATAAGCTTATTCCAAATGTTGGAATCGCTGTTCAACTTAATAATCCCAAAGCAATTGGAAGACTATTTTGCTTTCTTCCTCTTCCAATATTACTGCCTTTTCATGCCTCTGTGCATGGTCATTTTGCTGTAAGTGCCATTAATCAATCCATTTCCTACTTTAAAAATGTTTATTACTTCGAAATGTTTATTGCTTTGCTCAAATTTATAATTAAAGGTCAGCACAAATCGACGTTCATTATGGTCCGCTGCCGATGGTGAAGAATTGGTATTTTACTTTTAAAAAAATTTAGTTATATTTTTAATTAATTATCCGTTTAAAAACTTAATATTGTTCAAATAATAATTTTTTTAGACTGAAGGTTCATTATCCAAGTTAAAGGTTTTATGGAATAAATATCTTTTCGATGTTATTCTCCCACAAGCTTGGGCAAAGTTTTTAATCAAGCTTCCTATCGAAGTACAAGATATTGATTCCAATAATATCTACAATTTTTGGCCAATTATCAGAGAATCTAAATTCGGCAATTTCCTTAATCAATATAAAAATCTCTTGTTAAATACTATTGAAAATTTCAACATTAAGGATAAAATTTTTTGTGGTCCACCAATATCTAGTTTATTTGGAAACTTGTCTGATATATTACCATCCCATAATGAGGCTTCCATATCCTGTGGAACTATGATTCATTTAATGTCAATCGAAAACGGCTTTTTTCCTGATGAATCTGCTCCTCATATTTCAAAAATTCTTGAAAAAATCGGATTCCCTATGATTAATATTGATCCTAAGATATATGATGAGTTGAAAAAATCTCGGCACAAAAATTCTTTAAATATTTGCTCTCCACGCATCATTAGAATCTACTTACTTCAAAATAAATCAAAATGGGAAAGCAACGTAAGAGAAGATATTATATCATTATTTGAATATGTACTCAGAGACAAAAATTATACGGAATTGAATGGTCTTAAAACTATTCCGTTATCTGATGGAAGCTTTGGAACAATTTTGCATTCTGAAACTCAGTTGCAATCTGAAGACACTGTTTATATTGGTCCTGATGATAATGGTTCAATTGGGGATAATGATGAACGAAAAATTTTTTTAAATAATTTAAATAAATTTGTTGATAAAAATATCACCCCTGAACTTTGGGATCTACTCTACAAAGGGACTCAAGAAGGGTGGAATCTCAACATTAAAATGTTGGCTCCATCAGTAGTGGCTGATCTTGTAACAAAAGAATTAAAAGGATATTCAGTTGGATGTGATGAAATTCCAATGGGTGATTCTTGTGGTTTGATTTTTAAAATTTGGGCAAACTTTAAAGAAATGGATTATGATCTGACATACTTTGAGAACATTCATTTACTACCTACTAATAATGATACCCTCAGAAAATTAAAAACAAATCAAAAATGCTTTTGGAATTGTGTTGATAATAATCTTGATAACGAAGCACAACCTCTTATTGAGAAATTTGGTATCGTTTTTGTTAATAAACAATTTGAAGAAAAGCTCGATACCTATAATCGGTCAAAGTACTGTTTATTTTTTATTAATGTTATAATTGTTGTATATGATTTGAAAATTATTTTATATGAATTTTATTAATTTATTTATTTATTTTTTTTTAGTCTTTCAAAATACGTATTTTGTCTTGAAAATTTAATAGAGGTTTTGGCTTGCTTAAAAGCATCTACTACTTTCCCAACAAACATTCAGATTATGTTACAACCTCGAGAAGCGGAAATAATCATTAATTATTTGCGTCGTTTACATCCTGACGATGCTACCAATGATATCGTAAAATATTTTCCAATTTTTTCAGAAGTTGGTAAGGAAGAGCTTATCGCACTTCTACCTAATAAAAGAAATTGGTATTTACTTCCAAATGAAGATGAGAAAGATTATGGGCAGATAATTGCTCCAAATACGGATGGTTTTCTTGATTCATCATCGTCCAATACAAGATTTCTTTTGGAAAGTGTTATAAATGTTAGACGACTATCACGACAAGAGTATTGGACTAAATTTGTGATCCCATATTTGGAAAATCAACCATTGGCAACTATTGAAATTATAATTATAAAACTTTTTGAACGGTTACAGCTTCTACTTTTGGAAGATCAAAATTTAAAATTTACGTTGGAAAACATGGCTTTTGTTCCCGCAAGCACAAATCCTACTGCGCGAGAAAATCAAGAAACAAATTTTATACTAAAAAAACCTATTGATCTATTTGATCCTGATATTCAAGATATTCAATACATTTCTGAATTATTCCTTAATGACGAACACTCGTTTCCTGCTGGAATTTTCTCGGAAAAATTTCGAGACATCTTTTTAACTTCATTAAGAACTCTAGGAATGAAACAATGTTTTTCTGAATCGGATATTATTCAGCGGCTTGATGTATTTGCCAAACGAAAGGATAATGAAAGCGATATTGTACATCAAAAATCTCTAAAATTAGTTCAATATATTGATAAAAATTATGAAAAACTTTTGGGATCATTTGAATATTACACTATGTTATCGTTAGAATTACTGATTAAAGTGTGGATTCCGACGATTGACTCTACGGGTAAAAAACAATTTTCAAGGGCGAATGAATGTCGAAGCATAAAACATAAAAATTTGGTTGGACTAGTGATGCCAATCATAGAATATTCTTTTGAGAACAGTTCTTTTATTAAAATTTTGCAATGGGATTCATATCCATCTATTGATGTCGTTATCGCGCAACTTAAGGCATGTTTATCCATGGTGACAGTACATGAGAATACTTTCAAAATATGTAAAGAAGTATATACGTATATGAATTATGTAATGAGCGACAACAGTTCAAACTTGACAAAATTTAAAGAAAAACTTAAAGACGAAAAATGGATTTATTGTAATGATAAATTTTATTCAACAGACCAGGTCGTGATTGAACTTGATAAAAATTTGGACAGCAACACGTCAAAATTTGTCGAACTTCCCTACACATTTAAGCCTTATATTGAATTATTCAAAAATATGGGTGTTAAACAAAAAATGGATATTACTGACTTAATAAACATCATAAATGAATTTCAATCCACTGATGCTACAGGGATTCTATCGAATGAAGAATTAAACAAGGTGATAGCAATTATTAAACTGGTCGCAAATAGAGTTAGTGAACAAGGTTATTCTTGTGCAAGTATAAAAGATTTGTTGGTACCAAGTACAGATTGCCAGTTGGTGAACATATATGAGATTTATTTTGATGATATGAAATCAAGGATCGATAAAAACGAAAAAATAGTTCATTCATTGATTTCTTATTCTGTCGCAAAAACTCTTGGAATAAAAATGCTTACCGGAAAGTTTTTTGATTGTAAGTATAAACTATTTAATGATCTGATTGTGTTTGTTTTTTAAATAGAGAAACCTGTCTTTATAATTAAACAAAAAATTCAATGATAGTGAATGACTAATTTTAATATAACATTTATTTAGCTAAGACAAATAGCAGTGACGATGATGATTATGAACCAGATGAAGAATTAGCTGTTAAAATACATAATATCATTAATGTAAGAGTACAATTTCTTGTTTATTAATGATAATAGTCCATAATGTAATTATATATATCAATTATTGATTTTAGGGTTATCCACTTGAATTGATATTTAATGAAATCCTACAGGTATGAAAAAATAAATGTTTTTTTACAATATGTTGATTAATTCTATGCTTATGACTTAAATGTATGTAGAATGCTGATGATGCGAGAGCAAGAAGAATTTGCTTTATTATTGATGAAAGAGATCATAGAAAACCAATTTTAAATTTATCCAATACGGAGAAACAAAATTCATTGATTTCTGATGAAACAAATCAGTGGCAAGGTCCGGCTCTATGGATATATAATGATTCTGAATTTACTCCATACGATTTTGAGTCTATAAAAATATGTGGTTTCGGAGGAAAGAAGGATTATAGAGAAAAAAATGGAAGATTTAGAATCGGATTCAATTGTGTATATCATTTGACCGATTTCCCTAGCATTGTAATTTTTATTACATTAAGATTCTTTTGATATTCTTTTATGAAAGTTATTAAAATATTAATTTTTATTTTATTTTATATAATAAAAATAAAGGTTAGTGGGGAACATATAATTTTCTTTGATCCGCTAAAGAAATTTTTGCCAAAAACCGGAAATCCACCTTGTAGCCCTCATGTAATGAAATTTAATTTCCTTGAAAAAAAATTCAAAGAACAATTTGAAGATCAAGCATCTACCTATTCAAGTTTTGGTTGTGACTTTAAGAAGAAATTTAAAGGGACTTTATTCAGGTTACCTCTAAGATTAGAAAAAAGTGAAATATCAGATCAAGTATTAAAATCTAGTGACCTCATAAACATAATTTTTAAAAATATAAAAGCGAATCATGAAATATTATTTTTAAGATATATTGAGCATTATAGTTTATTTAAAATGAATTCAATGGATTTGCTAGATTTAATTTGGGAAATATCAATTCAAAATATCAATGATATTCGTGAGTTTCGTATCTCCAATTCATACGAGACGAAATTATACCAATTAGAAATGGAAATGTGTTACAAGCAAAGTAAATTTGGTGAAAACTGTAAAGACTCGGAAATTTGGATAATTTGCTCTGGTGGTAATGACATGATCGACAAACTCAGAGTTCAAGAGATTTCTAAAGAGTTTAACCTTTCAGTATGTTATTATTCAAATAATTTTAATTTATTTTAATTAATTAATTAATTGACATGTTTTTAATTTAAAGGCAAAAGGAGGTATTGCTGTGCTATTATCTAAGAGAAATAATAAATCACTGGAAGAACTTAAAGCTGAAAAGGTAATGCTATTATCTCAGACTTTTTACATATGATTGCTTCATTAACACTCAATACCTTTAGTTTTTCAACATTCAACCACTCGATGGAAGGATTTATTCGAACCTTTCACTTCCGATCGATACATCCTTCAGTGTTCACATCAATGGAACATTTTGTCTATCTAATTATAGAAAGAATATTTTGCATGCTGACAGTAATCTTTCAACAAAATTAAACGAATGGAATAGATACATATTGTTAGATATCTTGCCTCCACTGCATGCCAAGCTTATAGAGCACATAATTAATCAAAAAATGCCACAGTCTTATAATCAAATGCTTAGAGAGTTGTGGCCAATGCCCTTAACTTCAGATACTTTAGATCAATACCGAGAATATGGATTAAATGTGCTTTGTAAACTATTCAATGCGGATGTAAACTTGTTTGGACTGAAGCGAATGGAGGTGCACTTACTTCATTAGACAAAGCTTATTTTATAACTTCAAATAATTCTATTATCGCAGATATTCTTACAAATCAAGGAATAGAGATTGTCAAATTAAGTGAGGATAAAATTAGTCAACTTAATGAGATGATTAGTAAAATAGGTTCGTCTACCAAATCGATCAAATTGATAACGCCACAATCAATCTGTAGTATGCTTCGAAATAATTCAATTACATTGGATATTTTGGATGCTAAAAACGAAAAATCACATGAAATAGCGATACATTTGTTGAATTATATTATTTCAAACAATAATCAATTTCATCAACTTTGCGGAATACGACTACTACCACTTTGTGATAAATCTTTAGGAACATTTGGTTCTCAAACATATTATATTGCGGAATATGGATTTCAATACTTGTTTCCTAATGCAAAAGCAAAATTTGTTGACGTTCTGCCTTTTAATCTTCAATCAATTTTTAAGGATAAAAACTTTTGTGATATAGTCAATATTAAACATTTAAATGCAAATTCCATTATTGATTTACTAGATAATGTGCTACAGCGTGATAAAGAAATGAATTGGGATCCTTTTGGATATCAATATCCAAATAAATATTGGATTGATATGATACTATCAAAGTTCACAGATCCATATACGCCGTATGAGTTTAAAAAACTGGCAAGATTTCCTGTAATACCAATAAACAAACCTCAGAGCAAACTCGTCTTACCTGATTTATCTGATCCTATATTGATAGATATAAGCAATCATTCGATGATACCAATACTTGCAAAATTTGGTGTCAGATTTACAGATAAGAAATTTCCTGACGACTGTAATCCATTTATTAAAGGGTGTATCTTGCAATCAAGTGCGACAAACATGATTACATCTCTTAAAAAAGCTATTAAAAAATCTTCAGGATCATTAAACCAATTATTTTCTGAAAAACTTGATCATAATGAGATTAAAATTTTCAGAGCGTTTATCAAAAATGAGATTCGTTTTATTCAAAGTAAGAATTAAAATTTTCTATGTCTTATTTTATATCTTTAATTAATTAATCATATTAACTTAAATAGATATTGAATTGGTAAAAACCTTACCTATATGGCCTACTCAATCGAATGGTAGTTATATATCAGCACAAGAGGGAATCATACCTCCACAGGACATTCCCCTTTTATCCATGCATAAGGAAACAAAATTTTTTCTTATAGAATCCGATTCACATCGTCAGGCACTGTTAAATCTAGGCTCTAAAGATATAAACAGAATGGAATATATTAAAAAGCATTTGAATAGAAACACTTTAGATACAATAACTTTGGATGAACAATATATAAACTTTATAAAGGCGGACCTTTCTCTGGCAAATAAGAAAATTGAAAATTAATTAAGGCCGCTTAATGTAATCCCAAATTATGATTTCACTAAACTTGTTCGGGCGAATACTTTATATAGTGCAGCAAATGAATCTCTTTTTAGAATTTTCTGGAAAGCCGATAAACTTTTACATCCTGGTTTACAAGAAAATACCCGATGTTTAAAAGCTTTAAAAATAATGGGATTAAAACATCAAGTTAATTCAGCTACATTTCTTGAGTGTGTACGAGAAATTAATTCAAAGATCCAATTACAACAACCAGATGATCAAATTCAACTGGTAAAATCGGATACAATAATTTTAATGAAATATTTAAACGAACATTTTACAAGTTTAAATTTCTCAATTAAGCAACGGAAAGAATTAATATATATCAAGTTCGTACCAGTAGACACAGATTTAGAAAGTCCATTAAAAGAAACGGCAGTTAAAACAACAGGATTTGAATCGATAAATTCTATGTGCTACCAAAAATATAAATACCTTTGCTGGACGCAGTGTCCATTATTTTTAAAATCAATAGATCCTCCAAACATATTTAAAAATGAATATCCTGTATTATGTCGTCCTACAATGAATAAGGTTCTTGATAATTTATGTTATATTGCGAAAATTGTATCTCAGTCGGATAATTGTTTTTCTCCATGGAGATCATCAACAGGAGTTCAATTAATTGACATTTAAAGGAAACATACAAGACATTGGATAATTGGTTAAAAACTAGTGAAAATCATGATAAAAATATGACGATATTACGTTTGCAAAAAGGAGCAAAAATATTTTTGAATAGTAATGATCCTTTTATCTCCGAAGATTGGGTAGCAGGAGAAAATCTTGTATTTGGTGTGCAAGAAGATGTTAGTTCTGAATTGCGTAAGATCCATGATAATTTAAAAGGATTTAAATTTTTATTAAAAGTATCTGGAGCTAAAGAAATTAAAAATATTGATTTTAATGTAAAGACGCAAAATTATTCACAGAAAAGTAAATTATTTGGCAGACTTTTAAATAATTTTGAAAAACAAGATGAAACCAGACATCATGATGTTGAGTTTCAAATTCATCATAAGAATGAAATTGAAAAAATCTATGCCAATCGATACGTTCTTTCAGGTATTTACTTTTCTTTTAAATAATATATATTAGTAATTATATGCTACATTTATGATTAATTGAATCTCTATAAATTTACAGCGGCTTCTGAACATTTTGAAACATTATTCAATGGGAAAATGATGGAAGCTGCAGAATATCAAAAAGTAACCGTCGATATTAATGACATCAAACCTTCAGTATTTAAAGTTCTAGTTCGTTGGTTATATGGCCAAACTCTCGAAGAAGCAATTGATGCAGTTTTAAATCATTCTAAATGTTCTGTTACTTTCCTACTTAAATTGCTTAAAGCATCAGATAAATACCTAATTGATCCACTCAAATATCAGGTTGAAGTAGCAATGATAAAAGGCGGTTATATTGATATTGGTAATGTGGTTGAAATCAATGAATGGGCTAAATCACTTCAAACGACACAACTTCATGATTATTGTAATGAATATATAAAAAGTAATAAGTCTATTGTAATTGAAAAAAAGATAAGTGGAATAGTTAACGCAAATAGTGAAGAGGATAAAAAAGAAGAGGAAGATATGTTAAATATTGTTCTTGATAGTTAATTTATCAAACTTTTTTTTTTTGTAAAATTCCACATGCTGAAATATTATTCGTTATATAAATCTAGTAGCATAGAATAGAAATATTAATCCTCCATCATTCTTGGTAATATAATCAATAAATAAACGCTCGAATAAAAAAAATAAAATTTCAAGATTTTATCTGTCACATAATTATACAGATGCTTAGCACAAAATTCTATAATGTGTCACTTAATTTATATATACTTGTTCACCAAATCAATGCGAATAAATTTGAAACAAGTAATAATTAGTATTAGGATAACCAGCTAAAATGAGAGTTTGTATAAAATTAAATTTTATTAGTCAAAAAAAATAGGTACGTAATGAATGAATTTATAAGTAGAATCACATATGAATTTAAATGTTGATTCCAAGGTGACCCTTCGCTTTCGCCACTACCACCGTATCTAGCATTTGTAATCCTCACTAACTAAATGTCCTGAATTGGCCCTTCAATCCAGATAAATTCAGATATCCAGATCAGAGTTTTTACTCGGATTGGCCGAACTTAAAAAACGGGACCTAAAGATGTGCCTAAAAGTTAGCTTTATGTATAATCTCATGCGGATTCAATTCGGATTTGATAGAATCCGAATGGCCTGTCAAAAATAAGATCGAAGCACTAGACATAGTAGGTAGATACTGTGATACTGTGCAGTTGAACCAGAGACTGTTTGGTACTGTAAGCAGTTACTAATGGCGAAATCTCTGCAAGAGAGAGCAAAATTTTCATTTTCGTTAGATTCGAACTGAGTCCAATTAATAAGGAAGTAGGGGATTTTATGTTACGCAATTCTAAAATTGTTAATAATGTACATATTGTTATTAACGTTAAGGAGTTTTTTGCAAAAGAATAGTTAATTCAATAAAGTCCGTAAATTTACCCGCCATTTCATTTACCATTATACATTATACATAATTATCATTACACAACTACTGTATATGTATCACCTATCTGCAAGTTTTTCTTAAAATTCCGAATTAGTATTACGTACTTCCGGCCCCATAAACTATCTGCTATATAATCTAAGTATGCGTGAAGATCAATAGTTAATTAGACCATTGCAGCATTTAACATAACGTTATAAAACTTTACCATAGCGTCATCACGTGGGGTTTTTTATATGATTGTAGCACACACGTACATAATATATACTGTGTGGAAATTCGGACCTAAATTATTGTAATACCTAAAGTGTTCTTTCTGCTCTGCACTTACAATTTCTTTCTTTTTTAGAAAAAATTCTTTAAATTATTAAATATGACACAACAATCTATAAACAATTTATTTTTTGAGCAAAATAATATCAAGATTATTCCGCACAATTCTTTTGAAAATGATAGTACGGAATTGTCTAGCAGTAGCTATAAAGTTTTCTCAACAAGGTATAATAATATTATGGTTTTAAACAAACTTGTCTTTTCTCAAAAATACACATTGGAAAGTTTTATAAATAATGTAAGTTGTTTTGCCTTATAAAAATAAATTGATATTTATTGTTAATAAAAATGATATTTTAAACATTATTTATATGGCTGAATTTCTTTTTAGCTAATACAGTATCAAAAAGTAGAATTACATAAAAACATTTTAAAATTCATCGGCATTGTTAAGCAAAATGTTCAAGAAGTTATATTTATTCATGAATATGCTTATTATGGAACTCTTCGTCAATATTTAAATCAACGCTTTAACATGATAAATTGGAATGACAAGCTACGTCTTGCGAAACAGCTTACTAGTGCTATTAAATGTTTGCACGAAAATAACATAATTCACATGAATTTGGTATTTCTTTTAATTTCTTTTACGCTTTTTTTTTTCTTTCTTAATTAACAACGTAATACTAAATAATCTATTCTATTTAGCATTCTGAAAAAGTATTTGTTCACAAAGGAGATATCAAAATAAGCGCTTTTAATTTTCAAAACAAAATATCAAATAGATTCAAACATATTTCATATATTGACCCTCAATGTTTACGAAATCTTGAAACTTGCAAATTTGATAAAAGCTCTGATATATACAGCATTGGAGTTCTTCTTTGGGAAATTTCAAGTGGAATAGTTCCTTTCAAATCAGAATTAGATTACAATTTTAACCTATTGAGTGAAATTATTCATGGCAAGCGTGAAGTCGCAGTATTTGGAACTCCTAAAAAATATTTGACAATATATACAGGTAAATTTATTTACATTATTAAAAGAATTATTTAGCATTATTCATCTAATACGTACTAAGAATTATTGAATTTACTTTCAGAATGTTGGCAATATCATTCATATCGTCGTCCAACTATTCAATGCGTTTTTAAAGATTTAAAAGATATTGACTATAATGATCTAATTGATTTTAGAGAGATTTTTACTGGAAATGTAGATTGTAAAAATAAATTAGAGTTAGAACCCGAAAATTTAAATACTACAGATTTAATGAAGCACTGTACTAATTTATATAATGAAACAACTAAAGAGTTGGAATTAATCTCTGCAGCAATTTCATCTCTTAAAGAAGCAAACCAAAATAACTTACTTCATTTATCATCTTTAAAAGAAACATTTTCTTCAAATCCTACTAGTTATGAAAATGTATTTCTTTATAATTTGAATCAATTATTCATAACTCAATTTAATGTCCAAGGCGTTTCAAAAAATAGTACGTGCTTTATAATTCATCGCATAAAAAAATATATAGAAGATAATAACAAAACAGCAAATGAAACTTTCAATCAATATCACAATCATCAACATAGATTTTACTTTACAAGCATTATTGGTTTCCTTTATGAACATGGAATTGGAACAGTCGTAAATTATTTAGAAGCAGTTAAAATGTATGAGGAAGCATCTAAAGACTTTAATTCGATTAGTTTTGTAAATCAACACGATCATTCTCTTTTATCAAATAATTTACTAAGAGAAAATTTATTAAAAGAAAATCAACTTATTGGATTGATCTCTCTTGGTTTACTTTATCAAGATGGAAAAGGTGTTATTTTAAATCAAAAGAAAGCTTATCAATTATTTTTAAAATCAGCTTTCAGGGGATCTAGTTTAGGAAAATATTATATTGGTAACTATTTATTTTATTACTATTATGACGAATATATTCCTTTTAATTGGTACTTAAAATCTGCTGAAGAAGGAAATGCAAGGGCACAAATTAAGGTTGGTTATAGTTATGAACATGCTGAAGGTACTTGTAAAGATGAAGAAAAAGCATTCGAGTGGTATTTAAAGTCTGCTGAAAATGGTAATTACCTTGGTTATCATAATGTTGGTTATTGTTACGAACATGGTATTGGAACTTCTGTAAATAAAAAGAAAGCTTTCGAATTCTATACGAAATTTGCTGAGGGTGGAAATTGCTTGAGTCAAATTATTTTTGTTGGTGTTGTAAATTTAGTGTAAAGACTTTTGTAAATAAAAAAAAACTTTAGAACTCATTTTTCAACACACAGTAATTATTATTATCTTTAAAGTAAATTGCATTCATACATGGTTTTTTGAAAAAAAATTATCTTCGTTGTTTAGTACGAACATGAATTTTTTTTTGACCAGGTTTGCACCCTTGAATGTATGCCATATAAAAAATTTGCGCCATACAACTATCTAATAAGTTTATTCAGTAAATTCAAGTGCAAATTACTATAATGATTTCAATTAGACGAAGCCTTTTTTTTTCAAGATGTCAAAGTTATTTATACTCGATGTTCCTTTATTGATGTTACTATACTTAATTAAGAAAGTTCTATTACAGCTAAATTAATGATAACTCAGCATAAGTTCTAATTAAATACGCAAAATAATGAAGAAATATTTGCTTTAAAAATTTGGGAATGATTCCAAATAAATATCAAATATATATAGCTAATAAAATATGTATTTGACTATTTCTAAACAAATTTCTTTAAGCAAAAGTTTTTCATCTAGGCTATTCCTTAGCATGAATAAAGGAATGACAGTAACTCACCCTAACCTAGCCATCAAAAAAAGTTCATTTTTAAAACTAACTCTATTCCAAGGTATTTCATATTCTGTCGTATCTACAATTTGCATATTAAAAGGAAATAGAAAACATATAAAATACAGGACGATTGGCGAAGCGTAAGGTGGAAATTTTTATTTAAAAGGAAATTCTATGAATGTATAAAAAGAAATCTGATACTAAACCGTGGATGATTATTAAGCCAAGAAATGAAGTAATTTAAAGCAAATGGGCTGATAACGATAAGATTACGCAATAATCAAATGTATGATATCAACTCTGATATAACTATTCATTAACGATACGATAAATTCCAGCTACGTACGTTTTCTGTTACTGTATAAATTTACTGTTAAAAAAAAATGAGTGTAAAATTTTTTAAAAAACTTTCGACAGATTATCTTGAACTTCTTGATTACATAAAAGATTTTAATGTAATCATTAACGTTGATGAATCACTAAATATAAATACAAAGGTATTCAAAGCACATTCAACAATTTTAGGAAGCTGGTCATTATATTTTCGAAATGAGTTGGCGAATATTGATAAGGATAAAAATCATATAAAGACAATAAAGTTAAAAAATATTCCTATTAAGAAATTTGAAATCATTATCAAGTAAGTTATCAAATATTTCAATCCACAATATTGAAATGTTTTATATTAATTAATACTTTAATTACTTTGCAGAAACCTTTGATTTTGCTAAATATATTTACTATATAATAAGAATATAATTAAAATATAATTAA